ATGATAACTCGGTATCAGAGCATTAGGTTTACTTAGGTCTCACGAGTCATGAGCAAGTCTAGTAGAGTCTTGCGGATCAGTGCGAAGACGTTTGTACTTATCTTTGAGAGACTACAATGCTGTTAGGAGCACTTCCCGTCTTGATTTCCTCATCGTGCAGTTTGATTCCTTTGATGCTTATGCCTTTATATCTGTCCTACTCATTCTTATACGATGTTCAACGCTTGTGTCAATTAGGCATCTCGGAGTTGCAGTGGTACTACAGAAGGGGAGCAGAGTGTTTCTACATGCGCATTCGAGCATGCTATTATCTTCTTCTTGTGGAAGGAGGTTCTGTCATTTCAGCTCAGTAACTGTATTTTCAATGGTTTCAAGGCTACGTACAGGTTTCTATAATGTTCAGACATTATTATCGCACAGTGTTTGTGTAATGGTAGGGTGCTTGTCTATGTGTCGAGGCAGTGAATAACTTGAAAGGAAGTTTTACTCAGTGCATGATTCAGAGGTTCAACATTTTATTTCCAGTAGAGGAAAGGCTATTGGACTATGCATGTTCAGGTTTTGGTTAATGGAGTGACGAGACTTGGTATTTTTGAGTGTGGTGGAATTTTCAATTGTGATGTGGTGTCACCAACCTTGTTGAACGCGTTAAGGAATGCCGGTGTTATGGTCTTCATCAATTTGCCTTTAGGGCAGGGTATTTTGAAATGGTGCCTGAGAAGTGGTTGTCAGAGATAGCGAAGTGTAGCAATTTCGGAACCAAATGGGTATTTCTAATGTTGATGGCTCGAGATGGATGATTTTTAGGAGGCTTAGAGTTGGTGGTAATTTATTAGTTCAAGTGCTACGGAGATGGATTCGGAAGTGAGGCAACAATTGTACTCAGGGGACGGACTAGCTTGCTTGATTGAAGAGACTCGAGGTAGTACTGCATTCTCATCCGCATGCCTTGATGTCACCCATCTTTTAGACTTTCTACTGTTTATTCGTACCAAAAGTATATTTATCATTTTGGACGTTGTATTTAGTAATTCTGTTGAAGCTCATGTACACAGTAACACCAATTCTTGTAGGTTTTAGACAATTGTTGGTTTTAGTCTTGTTATTCATTACTGAGCTTTATCCTTTATTATGATATCATGGTGTTTTATGTCTAGTTTTGATCTTTTATTTTCGCTAAGTATTGGCTTGCCTCGCAAATGGTGTTAGGTATCATCACGATCTCTTTGATGGAAATTTGGGTCGTGACAAATTCAAACTTATGAACCCTTAAAATCCTCAAGTTCCATTTCCTTAAGTACTAGTGCGGGATTGCACCCGAGCCCCTTGAGTCTCAATCTGAATATACGTTGTAAAAATATTATCATACAAACCTATTGAAACATTTAAACCATGGATATAAGCTCGTTTATCCATATCATACAAACCTACTGAATATGAGAGTAGTATTCCAGAGAGTACCATGAGAAATTCTAATCTGAAAAAATTAGCAACCAGAGGTAATTCAAAAATGGCGATAATCGGAACAAACTCAATAGGATTGGTAAAATAACCACAATCCTGACATATTCATCTCATTTGAATCCGGACTCATAAACATGGATTTTCTCTTGTTTGATATTTTTATTAGTTGTTTAATTCTTGCAATCGTAGATTAATAACACACTTTAATCTTGGTGAGCTCCAACAAATAAAAAATTCTTAGTAAGCAGTTAATGATATGTCCTTATGAGTTCGACATCCGACGCTATGTCACTTTACTACTGTTAACCATGTATACTTGCGTGTACATTTGGGAGCGACAATTCGCAACTCTATTATGCGCTTCTTCTTCTTTTTTTTTTTTTTTTTTTTTTTTTTTTTTTTACACAATTAAAGGATTTTAATCCAAAGCATGAGGCTAATGTTGCTCCTATTTGAGTTTTACTATCTGGATTGAAACCTTAGCTTATTGGTTCCATATGGCAACAATATTGGAATTTGTCGATCCCATTATATATATATATGTCTGAGCGGACCCCACCCTTCAATTTTGTGCCAATTTGGCTTGGGTTGATTTGATAAAGGAATTGCCTTAGCATGTTCGGATTAGTGTAGCCTTGATATTTTGAACAAAAACATGATAAAATAAGGTTAACTCCCATTTAGAGTTTTCTCACTATCAATTCCCTCTAAGCTAACTCTACTTCCAATCCAATAGTGTTATTGTCTGCATAACGTTATTCACGATGAAGTGGAAAGGAAATATTATGATGGCAGAGGCGGACACATGCTATAGGTCGAGGGGCCAAGACATCTAGAAATTTTGATAAAAACTTCATATATACTTGTTAGTGTCTTAAAAAATAGTCAGATATTAGCATAGGTCTTCGTACTAATCTTTATGAGCAGTGATAAATTTATACTGAGTGTTTTCAGGGGAGGATGCAGTGTGGTAACTACGAGTTCAATTGAACTCATAACTTTCGACGCGGAGTAAAAATTTATATATAAAAATTTAATAAAATTACAAAAAGGTAGATTTGAACCCATAACTTTAAAAAAATAATGGGTTCAATACTAAAACCCTTAAAATTGAACTCATAGGATTTAAATTCTAGATTCGCCTCTGAGTGTTTTGCTGGTTATGTGCACGTATTTTCTCTGTTTTATTCCCTTTAATAAAGCTATAAAAGCTTTAGTGCATGCACATAATAAGTTTTCATATAAAACTTGTTTATGTTTCATGTTGATTCGTGAGCATATCTACTTTTCACACTCAGAATGTATACTTTGGAGCCATCTCTTTCTTACTATAGCCGTAGCTTTATTCTATTAGCCTTAAAACACCTTTATTAATTCCCTATATTAGAAGTCTAGAACTAGCATTGATTTCAAGGTCCTTACTGCTGCAATCTCATTGTTCCACTTGTTCACTTCAATCAGGTTCCTGAATAATATAGTTGAAGGAATTATTGGTTCCCCAAGACAGACAACGTGGGAGAAACGTATTATATATAAAGAGCTTTTGGTTATCTATTTTGAGATAGTCATCTAGAATTTTTAGTCGATTAATAGCAACAAAAAATAGTCGAAAATGCCACTCTTGTTTTAATTCGTCCTTTTGGGGTAGCATTGACGACCAGGGGCGGAGCTAGAATGTAGGAAGCGGGTTGGCGTTTAAATTCAGTAGTTTTGATTCGAACCCTGTATTTGTTTTAAAACTACCATTAAACATATATAAATTATTAATTTAAAACCCAATAACTTCAAACGAATAAAATCTCGAACCAATAATCTTAAAATTCTGGCTCTTTTGACAACCACCAATTGTCCAAGAAGTATGCTTGTCCTTATTTATTTATTTATTTATTTATATGTAATATAATTTAAATTTTATTATGCTCGTCTATTTGTTCTCTCTGGTGTGCCACTCCATTCATTTCTAGATGTATTATATTATGAAATAGGACAAAAGTAGTGTAAAATTTAGACTAGACGGGAGTTTGGCAGAATTGACTGCATGTAGCTTGAACAAATATATATGTATTCAACTTATTTATATTGATAATATATAAATTATTACATTGTCTTTTTGTAACATGTAGATATTCCTTATTAATTTTCAGATTACTAATTTTATTTGTTATGAACAAAAATCTATAATTATCTTTTAGATTATCTGATTGTATAAATATTTTGTTATATCATTGGAGTCGTTTGGTACACGGACTAAATTATTTCGAAATTATAGTTTGAGATTATAATTCCTGAACTAATTTATCCCACTTGAGAGGTGGATAAAATAATCTCAAGTTTGATAGAATAAGGTATGATATCCACTAACCAGGATTAAGTCTGAAATTAAAATTATACTATATTTGATTGACAATGCAATAATTTTATACCGCCAATCAAATACAATATAAATTTAATTTCACACCTTACTCTGTGTACCAAACGGTCCGAGTATAAAGAAATTAAACTATGTGCACATGTGTGTATTAGAAAGAAATTAGGCAGAATGAGAGATGTGAGAATGGAGATATTTGTTGGGTTTGATAATTATGGAGACGCTATTTGGCATTGATGAAGAGGCAGCAAGCTCCACCCACCTTCACACAAACATGGCATATTGGCATAGCTTACAATAAAGGAAAAGAGATAAGAAATTTCAGATCACAAAAACAGCTACTCATTAACCAAAAAGCAATAGTATGTGTTTTCGAGTTCTCATTGGGACGTACTCATTGACGTGTATCAAACATTGTACGGTAAATATTATAGTAATAATAATAATTTTTATTATTTATCTTGGTGGAGTTACCACACTATCTTTCCTTTTCCACTTAAATATTCTACACTATTATTTCGATATTTCCCAGAGTTTATCTATGCTTTTGTTTTCCATTTTTATCTCATTTTTCTATTTTAGGTAGTTTTCTAGGTTTGCCAAAACTAGCAACGGATGATGTTTTGGTTCTCCACTGCAATATTATTATACTTTTTCTCTCTTTTTTCCTTTTTCATGGTGGCCTGTGGGGTCTGGAGCCAGAAGCCTAGAACCTAATAGAGCTTAATAAAGGATATTAGAGAGATAAGAATGTGCACATGAATAAGGAGAGAAATTAAGTGAAATACTGACATTGCCCTTTCTTTCTTTTGATGATATATCCCAAAATAATTCTAAGTTATGTATGTTGATTGTGCATATGTTCAATATAACAGATTATTATTTTAATTTTAGATCACTATGTCAAATTTAATATAAAGAGCTACCTATTATGGTAGGTCGATCAATTTAATTTGATGATGTAAAACATGGATTAAAATTATATAAATTAATAGTGTTTTATACCATCAATATAATTTAATCTATTATAGCACGTCACTTACTATTTATTCTAAGTTATCAATCAATGCTGTAAAATCGAATTACTTTCAATCACCTTTTAAGTAACTTAATTATATGAATATGTTTTACATAAATCTATACAAATTATGGATTTGAAAGTGCTGACAAATTGAACATGGATGAAAACTTGCTCCTACCTTAGAGACCTTTTTTTGGGTTTTTCTAGGTTACTAGCTTTCTCTCTCTCACACACAAACACACATTTTATTCATCAGATTTGTGACTTTCATCTTTTTAGACAGTACTCCTATTTTTGCAAGCAAAAGATTCTCTGTGGTTTTTGCCAATTTTGTAAGTCCTCACTATTCCTCCACCAACTATGCTAATTATACCCTTCTCCTTTAATTCTTTCTTTGAAATTCTTACAAGACTTTATCTCCTCCATCTTTGTGATTTCAGGGTTATAGAGGAGATGGTGAGAGGGAAGACTCAGATGAGGCGTATCGAAAACGCGACAAGCAGGCAAGTCACTTTCTCTAAGAGGAGAAATGGGTTGTTAAAGAAAGCCTTTGAGCTTTCAGTTCTTTGTGATGCTGAAGTTGGATTGATTATTTTCTCTCCTAGAGGCAAGCTCTATGAATTTGCTAGCTCAAGGTAACATATTTTCTTCCATTTCTCTGCTGTCCATCTAGCTACTGTTTTCATATCAAAGAAAAATGATTTTTTTATGTTAATTATATACTCATGCTCCTGAAATCTGATTTTCTTTCCGTTTCTAAACAGATCTCATCCTTTTATTTAATTTCTAAGTCCTTTGAATCTGTCCGTCAAACAATCCTAGTTAAAAGATTGCTCTAGAATGTCATTTTATCACTCAATATGGAGAAGTATCATTTTTTTCCACATGAATTCTTGCTTATGCTACTTCGAAGTCAACAAAGTGAATATCACAAGTCCCAAGTTTTCAAGATAGTTCTTACCATAAAATAAACCCTAGGGCATAGGCAGAGCTACAACATTCAGAGAGGGTTCACACGAACTCAGAAGCTTTTGCTTAGACTTTGCATTTGCATTTGAAAATTTATTAAATATGTATAAATACTTAATTAACTATAACAAGTTATAAGTTCGATGACTATTGTGCCTCTGCACTAGGGTACAATAATATACATTGTTTTTCAGTAACTCATGTGTGGTTTGTTCCATTCGATTAGTGACAGTGGAAAAATGTGCTTCATGATGAGGCCCTCATCTTATGTACTGTTGTTTAAAGTTTAGACATTTCTCACTTAGGGTTAACAAGTGTGGTCATCAATGTCCTTCTTTACATTAAACTTGATAAAATAACCATAAATTACTGACAAAGTTAATAAAATACAGCGTGAGAAAGTAAAAAGAATACTGTCTCATTAATTGTTTAAAGGGGTAGAGAGTTAGTACTTTCTGTGAACTTCAAAGCTAAGTGTAAGGGAGCCAGTTGTCAAGTTAGTACTTGGTTTCATGATCACTGTCCTTCCTTACTCTTATGCTGTTTCCATTATATAAACACACCTTGAGAATCTTTTGGGCAGAATTATTTGTACGGCATTCAATCCAGATCCCAAATCACTATGTGGCTTAGAGTTTAACTTGTATCCTAAAAGAATACTGCAAATAACTATTCACGTTAGGTAGAATTAGTTACATAAAATAAGACAAATAACCTGCTACACGAGGTAAAGCTACAATAATAGTGTGTACAAATTAATTTGAGTTTCATTTGTATACATGAGAGCGTAAAAAAATCCGATCACCTAAAAGATAACTATAAGTAACCTTCCACAAACAATGAATTCTAAAACATAAGATGGATTTTTACATGTTACAACATATTAAAATATACTATAATATAAGAATACTATGTATATATAAGTTAAATCCATATAATATTATTAATGCTTGCTGAATCCTCCATGTCATTTCTTGTCTTCAATGTTCTTTGGGGCGAGTATACCCATGTACACCCCACATCCATAAAAAATGCCAGAGAATCCAACTTTGACAATGTCAAGATATCCCTCAAAAGTCATGCTGCCATGACAACAAACACGGGAACAAACGAGAAGCCAAAGGTAGTTCCCCTCTTTCAAATATCCTTTCTGTTATTTGATATTTCACAAATTAGAGCCAGAAATTTCAATAAATGGATTTTAAAAAACATAAAACTGTCGTGCTTGGAATTCAAAGTTACAACTTAACATTTTTTGAGTCACCTTTATTACTACAATAGAAATTTTACTTATGTTAAGCAGATCAACAATTTATAAATACACACAGATTTTGCTTCAATTGAATCCCTTTAATTTGGACCATATACTCCGCCCTTGCTTCCCAAACTGTCTTTGTTTTAATCCATCCATGGCTACATGGAAATATCCAACTAAACCTTCTACAAGATTTTATGACTACCGGGGCCACAAGAGAATCTTGTTTTAAGTTTGTGTCTTTGCCAAATGCGTAAGCACATGGTAGCCAAGTGTGGAAGAGAAAGGCTTGCCTTCTTCTATTAATTAACAAGAATATATACACGTCAAGTAGTAAATCATACTACTAACAAATATGAAAAACTAGTCCTAACAAATACGGAAAAAAAAGTCATACATTATATTTACTATCCATATATACACTTTATTTACTAACAAATATACGCACACTTTAATACCACCCTCAAGTTGGCGCATGCAGATTACAAATGCCCAACTTGCACAAGAGAGAAACATACTGAGATTTTCCTAATGTCTTCATAAAGATATTTGCCAATTGCTTATGTGAAGGCACAAAGATAGGACGAATGTTCTCACTATCAATCTCGTCAAGAATAAAATGATAATCCACTTCAATATATTTAGTTCTTTCATGAAAGACTGAATTCTTGGCTATATGCAACATTGCTTGACTGTCACAATAAAGATGAATAAGGGAGGTGCAAGCACTCCCAAACTAGATAAAATTTCCTACAATCATTTTACCTCACATATTTTCATTACCATAGAGCAGTATTGAACCTCCATAGATGATCGAGAGACGGTATGTTGCTTCTTAGTCTCCTAAGATATGGATGAGTCACCTAACGAGATAAACCGACCCGTGAGAAAGCATCAAGTCAAAGGACAACCAGCCCACTCAGAGTCACACCATCCATAGAAACGTAGATCACATTTGCTTCTCAACTAAATACTTTATTCGTGAGTCCACTTCAAATAGCGAACAACCTATAAAGTTACATCCCAATGCTCCTCTTTTGGTTGTTGCATGAATTGAGATAAAATATGAACATTGAAGGATAGTTTCGGCCGAGTGAAGCACAGATAAATAAGTCGATCTATCAAACGATGATAGCGCTCAGGGTCAAAGCGCCTGTCTATCCGCCAATGCCAGCCGAGGATTTTGCTCCAATGGTATTCCTACAGACTTAACACCTAATAACCCAACAGCTGAGATAATACCCAAAAAGGCATATTTTTGTTGTCTTAAGAACCTGCCTTCTGAATTTCAAGAGACTTTCACTTGTAGAAAATATTTCAATTTACCAAAATCTTTTATGTGAAAGCATTTGCAAAGATATATTTTGAACTCATGGATAGCCTTGGGCTCATTGCCAGAGATAATTAAATCATCAACATACACAAGGACATTTACTCGAACTTCACCCTTTTTCAGAGTAAAAAGAGAGTTATCAGAGTATGAATGCTTTAGCCCATAGTCCTCTAAGGCATCCGACAACTTAGCAAACTAACACCTCGACCCCTGCTTTAACCCGTAAAGGGACTTTCGAAGTCTGCACACTTTACTTGGACTTGCAACTTGAAAACCTAAAGACTATTACATGTATATCTCCTCTTGAAGATCCCCGTACAGGAAGCAATATGTACATCCATTTGATATAACTCTTAATTTTTTGTTGTTACTATAGCAAAAAATATGTGGACAATCACCATCTTTTCCATTGGGGCAAACATTTTATTATAGTCGATCCCCTCTACTTGATGATTCTCGAGAATAACAAACCGGCCCTTGTGTCACTCAACTGTACCATCAAAGTTGTACTTTATCTTGTAAACCTATCTACAACCGAGAACTTTTTTATTATGAGGTAGATCCTCTATTACCCGCATTCTATTATTCTCCAGAGCTGTATTTTTAACCTAATTGCTTTTCTTCACTTCCCATCTTTCACAGCCTTAGAGAAATGAGCCAGTTCATATTGCAGTGATTTATGCAAAGAAAGCCCTTTGTTGTACAGAGAACTTATTGCAATTCACATATTGTGTTAAACGATAAGGCCTACTTGAGTACTGGTGTAAAGTGGATGGAGGACAAAATGGACTCAATTTCTTGACAACATTAATAATATAATTAATCGGACAAGTGTGTATTTTTTGCTGGTGTCTGCATCCCAACTGCTCCTCCTCTATTATTTCATCTACCTCAGTTTCAGCCACTACTTTGTGGTGAACATTTTCCTCTATCTCAGCTTCGTCGTAATCCTCCATGTCAAGCTCGTCTTCACGAGCTTGGACGGATTCACTACCCCTCCCCCTTCCCCCCGCTTCAGACTCCTCATCCTCTCTCAGTTCCTCCGCATGTATATTTTTAATTTTAACTCGTGATAGTGTTATGTGTTAATGAAGCGAAAGGAAATTCAGTCTCTTAGATCAGTGTCTCATTAAACAATATATTCTTACTTCTCATGAAACAAGATATTCTTTCTTCTCTAAAGCATACACCTTACAACCGTTCTTTCCATAGAGATATCCCACCAAGACATACTTACGACTTCTACTCGAAAATCTATCACCCTTTCTCCCTAAACATCAAGCACAATATAGTGAGCCAAATAATCGAAGATGTCCATACTCAGGCACTCGACCATATAATAATTTATAAGGTGTATTTTCATGTAAGATTAAAAATGGAGTTTGATTAATCAAGTGACAAGCCATCAAAAAACATTCCCCCAAAAATTAATCGGGCAAGTTGCCTTGAAAGTGAAAGGCCTGGACTACATTCAAGATATGATTTTCTTTCTTTCCACTGTCCCATTCTGTTAGGGTGTTCATGTACACAATGTTTGAAAAATAATCCCATATTCAAGAAAGTAATTTCTCATACATCTAAACTTTGTTCCATTGTCGTTCCTGAAGGTTTTAACTCACTTACCAAATTGTCTGTCTATCACAGCAAATAAATTCTTCATAGTTTGCATTACTTCTTTCTCATCAATAAGAAATTCACATAGCATGTCAGTAATCTTTTACAATAGTCAAAAAATATGATGCACCACAAGACAAAATTGTTCGATAAGGTTCCCACAAATCACAATGATTCAACTCAAAAATGCTAGAAGCTCTATTATTACTCAAAGAAAATTTGTCTCTTGTTTGTTTAGCCCGATGACATACATCGCAACTTCTATTCAAAGTATCACTATTTTTCCTAAAATATATGTCAAGAATTAATTTGGTTACTTGTAGAGAGGGATGACCCAAACATTGTGCCAAAGATCCAGCAAGCCCACACCACCAACCTTTAGAGCACATACCCTCTATTTGTTTCACAAATGGTAGAGTCCATTTTTTCGCTCACCCACTCCAACCAGCATCCTCGGGGTACGT